TCTCTCTTCCCTCTCTCTGCCATCTGCCCCCTCCCTCCTCCTTGCTCCCCTCTCTCCCCAAAATCAATCAATAAAAAAAATTTAAAAAGCACATATGCACAAGCAATATTTTAAGCTCACTGTTTCCAAGGGTTCAGGGGCCCTAGGTTAAAGACCCCTGTTTCTAAAGTTCATTTCACCTGTGTGTTTTGTATCTCTTGGTACAAAGATAACCTGGTAATTATCTTTATTATTACTATTTTTAATCCTCACCCAAGGATACGTTTTGATTGATTTTAGAGAGAGTGGAAGTGGGGGAGAAATGTTGACTGGTTGCCTCCTGTATGCACCCCAACTAGGGTTCAAACCTGCAAACTTTCGGTGTATGAGACAATGGTCCAACCAACTGAACCACCTGGCCAGGGCCTGATAATTATCTTTAATGTGTTCTAACCAATAGGAATAAATTTTAGTATGGTTAAGGGGACTAAGCCTCTTGGAAAATCAGAATCCACTTCCAGGCAATAACAGAACAGGGGCTGGCAGTCTGCTTTATTGGGATGGAGTTCAGACCTTGAGTTAGAGCCTAAGGCTAAAGAAGAGGACACCAGGGGCTGGGGTGGGAAAAGAGAAATTGCGATCAGTGAGTCTGTGCTGATTGTGTTCTGAAAGCTCTAGGAGTTGTGGCGTAGACTTCCTGATAGGACTGGGTTTTCATATTTCCATTTGTTTTCTGGGTAAGGTAAGCTACAAGGTTTTAAAAATCTACATTATTTTTATCTTAAGGCGCTAATCAATCGTGGGGTTAACCTGGATCCCCTGGGCAAGTGGTCAAAGACTGGATTAGTGGTGTATGATTCCTCAGTGCCCATTGGTGAGTGTTCCCTACCCAGTAGCCCTTGTGCCCCTGTGCTTGTCCCAGCTTGTCACGGACGGGTCCTCCTCCACAGGTGCTACTCCTGAGTACCTGGCTGGGCACTATATGCTGCAAGGAGCCTCCAGCATGTTACCTGTCATGGCCTTGGCGCCCCAGGAACATGAGCGGATCCTGGACATGTGTTGTGCCCCTGGAGGAAAGACCAGCTACATAGGTATAAGACGGGCAGGTCGGGGTAGGGTTCTGGGTCTCTGCTTTTGTAAGCAGATGGGGCTGGTGACTGGCTAGTGGTCAGGAGACAATGCACAGAGAGCTAGCAGAATGGTGAGGAGCACAGGCTCTGCCGTTGGCCTGGAGTCCAGCCCTGTGGGTACCACTTAGGACCTTGGTCAAGCCCCTGGTTTTCTTTTGTCACCTGTAAAATGGCACGGTGATTGTGCTTGGGTTGGCCATTATATTATGTTTGGGTTGTGAGGGTTGAGATACACATATCAAGGTCCTTGCTATAGTAATTGATCATTAACCATTTTTGGTTAAGCTGTTATCACTTAAAAAAAGTAACTTAGTCTGTAGGACCAGAAAGATGTTCAGTAACAATGGAAAAACCCTTCTGCTTATTACCAGGGGTCAGTGCAGACTGGGCAGACCTATATAGTAAGCAGTGGGGAGCAGAGCTTATTGTGAGTGAAGTTTTCCTTGAGGTGCTGAGACTTTGCCTGTGGATTCCTGGGCTGGAGGGTGGCTAGCAAGTGTGGGGGCAGAGGAGCTGGCTGCTGAGCACTGTACCCTCCCCACCTCAGCCCAGCTGATGAAGAACACAGGTGTGATCCTTGCCAATGATGCCAATGCTGAACGCCTCAAGAGTGTCGTGGGTAACCTGCATCGGTTGGGAGTCACCAACACCATTATCAGCCACTATGATGGGCGTCAGTTCCCCAAGGTAAGACTCCCCTCTGTGCATCTCCCATGAGGTCTCTTCCAGTTCACCTCTCTACCCGACATCAACATGTTTAGGCTTGATGCAATAGAGGTGCCTAAAAAAGGTGATTAATCTATCCTTTTTCCCCAGGTGGTAGGGGGTTTTGACCGAGTCCTGCTGGACGCTCCCTGCAGTGGTACTGGCGTCATCTCCAAGGACCCAGCTGTGAAGACTAACAAGGTGAGGAGCTGGGTTTGGGGGTGGCAGTAGGGTAAAGATCTTGGCTGGGCATTGTAGAGCCGGATGGGAGGTGGGGGGTACACTTTGTGCAGCCAGTAGCTCATTCGTCTTTCTGAGGCTGCCTTTTGAAATTCTGACACCCTTGGCTCCCCTTCCTGGAACAGGATGAGAAGGACGTCCTGCGCTGTGCTCACCTTCAGAAGGAGTTGCTCCTGAGTGCTATAGACTCTGTCAGTGCCACTTCAAAGACGGGAGGCTACATCGTCTACTGCACCTGCTCCATCATGGTGAGGCCTCTTCTATGGCAGAGCAGGAGGGCAGCGCTGGAAGCCTGCCTGCCCCGTAGAGCTCCCTTCAGCTTCAGCTCTTTTCTCCTTCCATTTTTGTCTCCCCCACATATCCAGGTGGAAGAGAATGAGTGGGTGGTAGACTATGCCCTGAAAAAGAGGAATGTGCGGCTGGTGCCCACAGGTCTAGACTTCGGCCAGGAGGGTTTTACCCGCTTTCGAGAAAGGCGCTTCCATCCCACTCTGCGTTCTACTCGCCGCTTCTACCCTCACACACACAATATGGATGGTTTCTTTATTGCCAAGTTCAAGAAATTCTCTAATTCTATTCCCCAGTCTCAAACAGGTAAGTATCTGCTCTCTACCCATTATCACTGCCTTTGCTCTTTCTGCATTTCAACAGGGAACGAAAGAATTTCTGCCTTCCTTATCGCCGCCTTTGCCTGCTTGGATAAGAGAAGAGACTCCTTACATCCCAGTTAGACTTGTTCCTGAGCCTGGGACCCCATTTGAGTATGATAGAGTGTTCCTGTGGTTGGAGGCCTTTCCCTTTATTCTACCAAATGTTTGTCCTTGTTTGGCACTAAATGTGTTCCCAGGGTGGGTTGTGGTTTCTCTTCTTGGCCCAGGGGTGCCCTACTTTTAATGCATCTTTGCTGTTCCAGCATTGTCAGCATGGTTGGCATAAGACTCCTCAGAACAATCAGCAGTTCTCTAAGCCCATCACACTAATTACAGATGGTTTTCTCAGCCATCTCGAGGAGTCTGTCCTGAATCTCAAGGGAAAGGGTGTGGTTTTCTGAAACAGGCGGAGAGGTCTGCATGCTGGGATGTGACCTGGATTTAGGTGGGAGAGGGAGAAGTGAGTGTGTCTGGATGTAAACTATGTGATTTTTTGAGTTGACTTTTTTCCTTCATAAGTAATGCTCCTTACAAAAGTCATATCTGAATGTTAACAGAAACCTGAATAGTTAGAGTTTATTTTTATTTTGTTTATAAAGATTTATTCATTGATTTAATGGGGGGAGAGAGAAACAAAAGCCCAGTGCTTCAGGTTTATTCAGGATTTACCTCCTCAGAGTGTCTTGCTACCCGGTGTCCTCAAGGGGGCACAGCTTCCTCTGAAACCTTTTTGGTCCAAGAATGGGTAGCGAACCCTTCTCTTTACTGCAAGGTTCAAATAGGACTTGAGTGACTAATGTGAATCCAGATAATCTGCTCTTAGGCACTGTTCTAGTTGTGTGGAACACTGACCAAGAGACAGTATCCAGGCAGTTTCCTTATTTTAATGCCTCTACTTGTTTCTCCTACTAATGATCAAAATCAGTGATGAGGCACTTTTTCTCAAAAAATAAAAAATAAGAAAATGTTTAATTTTAGCCCCAGGAAATTCTGCAGCATCCACTCCTACAAACCCAGACTTGCCTGACCTGAAAGGTCAGGTGACCCCCAAGCCTGAGAGCAGCAGTCAGCCTGCCAAGAAGGCCAAAGTGGCTGTGAAGGCAGAGCGGCACTTGCAGAAACAGCAGCATCTCAAGAAGGCCTCTCTCCAGAAGAAGAATGGCATCCCCAAAGGGGCAGACTCTGAATTGTCCGCTGTACCTTCTATCACAAAGGCCCTAACTTCCTCCAAGCTCCAGGATACTAGTCAGCCAGCTGAAAAGGCCAAAGTAAAAGAAGTGGTCAGGAGACCAAAGGTGACTGGGAAACAAAAGCAACAGTCACCTAAACTGCAGTCTTCCAAGAAAGTTGCCTTCAGGAAGCAGAATGCTCCTCCCAAGGGCATAGATGCAGAGGTACCTGCCACTCAGAAGCCTGAGAACTGTGTTCAGCCCTTTGGGAAGACTCAGGGGGCTGAGAAGGTAAAGCAGCAGTTGCCACAGAAGACTTCCAAGAAAGCTGGCTTCCAAAAACAGAATGGCACCCCCAAGGGACCTAAGACTCTGACCATGTCCTCCCTTGCTTCCAGCCAGCCCCCACCAGCAAAGAGGAGAAAATCTTAGTCCAGGTGGATGGTTAAAACTAGACTGGGGTGGCTCCTTGCTGTTGTCACTGGGTTGGAACTCTTACCTCTGTGAGGATGGCTTTCCCACTATACCTGTGAAATTTAATACACATTTTGCAATCTCTGGTGACTATGTTCTTTTGAGGGGACTGGGTACTGGCTTTGCTGTTTTAAGGGTAAATGTGGGAGGGTGGGACAGGGATCATCAAGAGCGGGAACAGTGGTATGCTGAGACATCAGGTCAGTTTTAGGTTCGTGGGATCCCTGGGACTCCCCAGGGATCCAGGGAAGAAGAGTGAGGAGTAGGAGGTAGGCGGTTTGGGGAGAGGAGGCAGTAGGTGTGTCGGGAAGGGGGGCTTCCTGCCACCGCAGCCTGTGGTGTGCTGGAGGGCCCGCGCGATCTGCCTCCCTGGCTGGGTTCTGGGCGCAGGCGGGGCTGGTCTCAGAAGAGCTGGCTAGGGCTCCCCTCAGCTCAGGGTTCTGCCTCAGGCCCGGAAAAGTCCAGTTGGCAGCCTCACACTGAGCCATTCATTGGCTTCCTCTCTGCCCTCCCCCGCCCCCCTGACCTCTGCCCGTTTTGCTGAGCTGTTTGATTGGTTGTACCGCGTCCCCCGGGCGCTTCATTGGCTCTTCTCCTTCGCCCTGCATCCCGGCTCCTGCACCGGTCTCCATCTCCCAGCAGAAGGCGCAGCCATGAATCCGTTATTCGGCCCCAACCTCTTCCTCCTACAGCAGGAGCAGCAGGGCCTAGCCGGGCCGCTGGGGGACCCTCTGGGAGGCGACTTCACCGGGGCAGGGGACGTGTCCCCATCACCGCTTGCTCCTCCCGGCCCCGCTTACTCGCCGCCTGGGCCGGCCCCGGCGCCCCCCGCCGCCATGGCTCTCCGCAACGACCTGGGCTCCAACATCAATGTGCTCAAGACACTGAACCTCCGCTTCCGCTGCTTCCTGGCCAAGGTGCACGAGCTGGAGCGCCGCAACCGGCTGCTGGAGAAGCAGCTGCAGCAGGCGCTGGAGGAGGGTAAGCAGGGCCGGCGGGGCCTGGCTCGCCGCGACCAGGCAGTGCAGACCGGCTTCGTCAGCCCCATCCGGCCCCTGGGGCTGCCCCTGGGCGCCCGGCCGGCCGCCGTCTGCACCCCGTCGGCGCGCGTGCTGGGCTCGCCCGCGCGCTCGCCAGCCGGCCCGCTCGCGCCCTCCGCTTGCCACTCGTCGCCCTCCACCTCCGCCTCCGCCTCCGCCTCCGCCGCCGCCGCCGCCGCCTTCTCCTCATCGGCCCGCTTCATGCCCGGGACCATCTGGTCCTTCTCTCACGCTCGCCGGCTGGGGCCGGGACTGGAGCCCATGCTGGTGCAGGGGCCTGGCCTGTCGTGGGTGCACCCTGACGGGGTAGGCGTCCAGATCGACACCATCACCCCCGAGATCCGCGCGCTCTACAACGTGCTGGCCAAGGTGAAGCGCGAACGGGACGAATACAAGCGGAGGTAGGGATAGGGACCGGGCAGGTGGGGACGTGACTCAGTGTCCCGCCACACTCAGAGCCATGATGAGGTGTGGAGAGGAGGGCAGCTGGGGCCCAAGAACCAGGGAGGAATAAAGTAAGACTAAAGTTCTTCCTGTGTAAGGAGACGCTTGGAAGTGAATAAAGGGAATTGGAGCCTGCAAGACTGAATGTACAGAAAATGCAGAAGTCAGCCTTGTGACAGGAAGGAGACTGGCAGGGGAATACTGTGGGCAATTCATAGTTTTCTTTTGGCATGTCCTGTCTCATGGGAGCGGCAGTGTTTGGATGACGGTGTAACTGGGTTTTGTGAGGTGTGAAAGGGACAAGGGTCTGAGAGGTCACTTCTGGGGATCTGCTTATCTCTACCCGCCTCAGCCCTCGAGCAGTTTTGTGATGTAACCTCCACATGCTGATCAGAACTAGGAGGCAAAAGATACACCTTTAACTGGGGTGTCTTAAGTGAAATTAGAAGGGAGTTGGGAAGGAGGACTGATCCTGCCGCTGTGTAGCGCTTCCCAAAGCAATGTGGGTGGAAGCTGGGTACCCACTCTAGTTTCAAATGAGACACGCTGGGCACCACAGGGTGTTGCTTGGGGTAGGTCAAAAACGTGGGAAAAGAAAGAATACAGGGAATTCCCTAGGGAATGGGGAATTATTGTAGGTAGTCACTGGAGGGCCTGGTAGTTATTGGAGGACCAGGGGAAGATGGGGAATCCGGGAAGATGCAAAGAGCCAAGGGCGGAGGCATTGTGAACGGAGCCAGCAGCAGAGCCCAGGGGGAGGAAGTTGGGAATGTGGACACACCCTATGAGTATGAGGCAGCTGGGGGACAGGCTCAGTGCATTCTGAGGATGGGGATTCGGGTTTTTGCGGGGAAGCTGGCAGGGCAGCCCAGAAGGCCAGGTGAAAGGGTGCAGTGCTGGAGTGCTGGCTGCATACCAAGTGGATTCCTTATACGGTTGCTCAGCAGGCTCTTAAGGCAGGGGCAGGAGCAGGAGCACCGCCAGCACTCTGTAGACTCTGTGCCGGATGCCACGGTCAAAGAGGAAGACGGCAAGGCAGAGAGGGAGGCTTTGGTTCGCCAGCTTTCAGGTTTAACCTCTTAATTGGCTACTCTGACCCCTGGTGGGCAAGCCTGGGAATTACCCTTGCAGCTCCGTGTTGCCGAGATTTATGTGCTGGGAATGGGCTGGACGTTCTGGGAAGTTACTGCCAGGTCTGGGATGACCTTCGGGTATCTGAAACCTGCCAGAGTCCAGGGGATCACACATCAGCAGGCGTCCTGAGGTTAAGTTCTGTCCTCATGCTGGCTTCCTTCGTTGCAGTCCATGTTAGGAGTGTCTTTGGGCATCCTGGTTATCCTGAGGTCTTCGTTCAGATGCCACCCAGCCCCAGCCCAAGCCGGAGCTAATTAACACAGCGAGCAGTGGAACATGGACAGTTCTGGACTACATCCATAACCACAGGGACAACTGTGTTCTTAGGGCCATTTAAAAAAACAAACTGGGTGTTTGTCCTTGGTCCAGCTGCCCTGGGCAGCAAAGAGTTATTCCTTGGGGACTGATGAGCTCATCCCTCTGCAGCACACTGCTGTGCGGAGGGCCGGGCAGCTAGAGTTGTATGGTACGTGACACTGGCAGATACTCATTCTTCCACCCCAGATCCCCTGCCCTCCTTCTGTTCTCTTTATAGCAACACTGTAGCTCCTGTCTGGAGCCTAGAAGGCCTGGACACAGCTTGAGCACTAAACTGGGAAGGAGCTGAGGCCTCCTGGGTTCTATTTTCAGTTCCCCTTCCTTGTGTGACCTTGGGTGGTTCTCTTTCCTGGCCTCGGTTTTTCCCACATAGGAATGGCCTCTGCTTCCTCAGTTTGCTTGGTTTCTGAGGATGTAGTTTCTTTGGAAGAGAGGTGGTTGGTAAATGCAGAATACACAGAGATTGCTAAAATCCTACATGTGAAGGGAACTTCCTAAATGAGACCAGATTTGAATGGAGGTCAAAATGAACCTATTTATGGAAAAATCTGACTGGGGTACAACTAGCATTCTAGTAAGCTTCCAGGTGATTTCTTTTCAAGTTTTTTTTTTACCCTGTAAGATTTTACTAATCTTAATCCTTACACAACCTCCTTACTTAAGTTTCTACCTGAATTGTTGAGTTTACTGTCAAACAGTGCTTCCTATGCTTCCTGATACATCGTGTCCTGGGTAGTTGTCCCCTTGTCAGTCTTGCCCGCTTCCTCTAGGGAGCCATGGGCTCCAGGGACACGGAGGCACCACATCTCATGCCTTCGTGTTGTAGATGAAGAAAACAAGGCCTGGAAAGATAAGGATCTTGCATAAGAAAATATATAACTTGATGCCACTGATTGTCTGAATGAGAAGGCCAGAAAAAAGGAGAGGGACATGGGGCAGCAGGGAAGGGTGGGCAGGAAGCCAGGAAGCCTTGGCACTGGGCGGTGTGATGAGCCCTCCGGCTGGCGGCCGGGCTGGCGGCCTCCTCCCTGCCCAGCTGGGAGGGGCAGCCTCGGTGAGGTGGAGGAGTTATTCTTAGGAATACTGCAGTGCAGATGTGAGTGAGGGACAGGAGAGCGAGGAGAGAGGGGAGAGGAGACTGGAGGGAGAGCCAGGGAAAAGTGTGGAGGGCAAGATGGCAAAAAAGGTGGAGGGGAAGGAAAGGAAGGGTTGATACCTGCATCTACAGAATCTGTTCCCTGGGTTTCATTTTCATGCTGCCCTTTTTGCTACTTCCTAGCCTCCTTTCTTACACTCAGGTTTCTCTCTTGGTGCAGTCCCCCTCCTTTCTCAGACTGGAAGAAGCCTTTCCAGAATGTAGCGAAAAGCGATGAGCTATATGGGTGGGATCGGAGAAGTTCCGCTGTCCCAGCCAACCTTGTAGGGGGCAGTGTTGCCCGCCTCCAGCGCCTTCCATCTCTGTGGCGTAGCAGACCATGCACTGGCTGGCCGGGGCTGACCCAGGGTGGGAAGCCTGGTCCCGGGACAGAGACCCTGCCTGTGGCCCAGGGTGTGCGTTAGCCTACTTGTGGTCTTGGTCTCCAAATTCTGCATCCCAGGAGATGTCACCTCTGGTCCTCACCCACTGATTCGCGAGATACTTTTCATACTCTGGTTTTCCTTTCCCTCTGGGTTTGGGTGCTTAGTAGCCTCAGGCTCCTGTTTTCCACGGTCACCTCTCTCTGGCTCACTTAGCGGGGGCTGTGGGTGGGCAGTGTCTGGAGCTTGTGGGGATGGACTTTGAGTGGCTCCTCCTGGCTCTTAAGCAACTCTGTTGACGCGGTATGTGTCCTGCAGCTGCTTTTCCAGGGTTAAATGATACCACACGAGGCAGGGCAGCAGGCTAGAGGAGCTCTGTTCTGGTGCAGGCAAGAGGCGGGAGACCGGATCTGTGCCGCTGAAGGTGGGAGACTGGGCCAGGTGGTGTGGTGTGGGCAGGACGTGGGGGATGAGGCCAGTCAGACAGCTGCTTGGGCCGGGGCCTGAACTGGACGGGCACTGTAAAGGACCAGAGCAGCTGCAGCCCTCTTAAATATAATCGCTGGTCGTGGCCTGGAGGTTCTGGGAAGGCAGCTGGTGAGCTCAGCACTGGACGGGAAGCGTGGAGCCACTCGACAGCTGCAGCTGGCCAGCCTGCCAGACATTCCTGTCCACAGCTCCTCCCTGTGCAGGGAGCCAGACCCTGGGGCTGAGGCCTGCGCCAGACAGGTGGGGAACAGGGAGCTTTAGGGGTAGCGAAGGACTCCGCACCTATGCTCTTTCCCTTCTTCCCATGTCTGCCAGGTGGGAAGAGGAGTACACGGTGCGGGTACAACTGCAAGAGCGAGTGAATGAGCTCCAGGAGGTGAGGGCGCCCCACTGCCTGGGCTTCCCTCCGTCCTCCCTGTCGCCCCTCAGCCCTGGAGCTGGCTCCTTGTCCCTCCTCATCTTCTCTTCCTCCTGCACTGGCAGGGCCGCTAATATCAGGGTTTTCTGCTTGGCTGCAGGAAGCCCAGGAGGCTGATGCCTGCCAAGAGGAGTTGGCAATGAAGGTGGAGCAGTTGAAAGCTGAGCTAGTGGTCTTCAAAGGGCTTATGAGCAACGTGAGTGCAACCAGCGCACCCCTCATGCCCTTCCCTTGTGGGCTTATCACCGCACCCTGCCTGCAACCAGGCTGCCCAAAACCAGGCAGGGCAGGCCTTGCTAGGTGTGGCCTGTTGATTTCCTGTCTACCACCCCTCCCCCTACTTTGCTCTGCTTCCTTTTTTTTTTTCCCTTTGCCACCCCCTAGTTCAGGAGGAAAAAAAGGAACACAAGTCCCTTGTGTCCAAGTAGCAGCATACCTCCATCATCACTAGAGCTCCTTGAGCAGTTAGTGGAGAACACACATCCCAGCTCTGCCCTGCACCAGCAGTGTGGCCTTGGGCGAATTCCTTAACCACCCTGCCTCTGTGTGCTCCCGCGGAATGAAATAGTGAAGGCGTGTACCTTGCAGAATGATTATGAAGATTATAACATACTGAGGACGGTGCCAGCACATACTTAGGGCTAAATAAGTGTTAGCTGTTGTTGTCCTTATTATACTACATTCCCCACTCCTGTAGCTCCCAGTAGTCTCTCTGTCTCTGTAGGAACATGAGTTCCAAGAGGTACCCCGAATGTCAGGGGCACTGGGCCACGCCCTCCAGGGGCTCCCCCTCTGGCCAGGGAGCCAGTTGCGTGAGCAGCTCAGTGTGTGAGTGATGCTGTGGGGGGGCACCCAGAAGGGACACCTGCTGCTTGGAGGAGTTGGCAACAGCTTCGTGGGGGAGGTGATGGTGACCAGAAGGATGAGGAGGATCTTGCTGGGGCCTGTTGGCCCTTGTGTGGAGTGCGGGGTGCCTCTTCAGTGGTCCCCATGTTCCCTGGACAGAACCTGACGGAGCTGGACACGAAGATCCAGGAGAAGGCCATGAAGGTAGACATGGACATCTGCCGCCGCATCGACATCACCGCCAAACTCTGCGATGTGGCTCAGCAGCGCAACTGTGAGGACATGATCCAGATGTTCCAGGTGAGGGCGGAGGGCAGGCGTTGGCCCGGCCCCCAGCCCACAGCTCCCCGTGCCCGAGAGCCTCGGGAGGGTTGGGGCAGGCGATGAACCTTCCGTCCTCACTGGCCTGGAGCCGGAGCCCATCCTCCTTCTCGGGGGACTCATCTTGGCACCAAGGGGCCCTCAGTGGGACTAGCTGGGGGGCCCGGAGCAGCCTCTGAAGAGAAGTTGTGGAAGCTGTCTCTAACCCATCTCTCCCCTCCCTCTCTCCTCTGTCTGCTTCCTCTCCTTTCTCTTCCTCTCATCTTCTCTGGCTTTCTCCACAGAAGAAACTGGTTAGTTTTGCTCTCACGCAAGCTTATTAATGTCCCAGTGCCTGTTTCTAAACTCCCCAGGCCTCGGCCGTCGGTTCTGACCTGCTGGGCTTTTCAGCACGGATCTCTTTCCCCCTTTCTGGTTTCCTTGCTGTTTCCCCCTTTTTCCTCTCTCTTTTCCTCTCGGCTTCACTTCTTCCTGTCCCTTCTCCTTCTGGCTTCCCAGATCTGGGTATGTGACTCAAGTTCTCCTTTGTGAACACTGTGCCCTCCTTGCAGCCTGAAACTTCCTTTTTTGTTCAGTCATTTCATTAGAACGACCTTTTTTGGAAAAAAAAAAAAATCTTCGTTAGCCTTCGTGCACACCTTAATGTGGTCACAAAAGGCCATTCCTCCCCCTACCTCACTGCTCTGTTTTCTGTGTTTCTTCTTATTCTTCCCTCTTGGTCTGCGGCCCTGTCTCCATCTATGTCTGTCTGCCTGTCCCGTGGTAACTCCGGTGTTCTGTTCCCTTCATCGTAACTGTGTCTTCTCTCTCTGTCCGCCCCTCTCCCTTCTGCTGGTTCCTGCTTCTCCTCCCTCCCGGCCCACTGCCCGCCGCCCTTTCTCCTCATGCACCCGGCCTCGTCTCTGTAGTCTCTGCACTTGTCTCCCATTAAGGTCCCATCCATGGGGGGGCGGAAGCGGGAGCGCAAGGCTGCCGTCGAGGAGGACACCTCCCTGTCGGAGAGTGACGGGCCCCGCCAGCCCGATGGGGATGAGGAGGAGAGCACAGCCCTCAGCATCAACGAGGAGATGCAGCGTATGCTCAACCAGCTGTGAGTCCCGCAGGCCCACCCTCAGCAGCCCCCCAGAGGCCGGAGCCCCCGCCAGTCCCCTCCGCCAGGAGGCAGGCCCCACCCTCCTTGACACCCAGGCTCCTGTCTCTAGGAGGGAGTATGATTTTGAGGACGACTGTGACAGCCTGACTTGGGAGGAGACTGAGGAGACCCTGCTGCTTTGGGAGGATTTCTCAGGCTATGCCATGGCAGCGGCAGAGGCCCAGGGCGAGGTAACCGCCCCTCCCGGCCTCGGGGCCCCAGTCCTGCCTCTCCAGCCCACTGCCCATCCGCTCCCCCTCCTCGCTGCCCCCTCCCCTCCTCGCTCTGCTTTCCCTCCGTGGCCATCATCCTTTCCCTGCTTCTCCCCTTCTTCGTTGTCCCTTTTCTTTTCTTTCTTTGGTTTCCTTTAACACAACTTTCTGTCAGTTCTCTCCCCCCCTCCTTGGCCCTGTGGAAAGTCCCTGTCCCATCCCTCCCCTTGCCCCCGCCGCCCCCAACCCTTGCTTCTCTTTGTACTCCAGCAGCAGGAAGACAGTTTGGAGAAGGTGATTAAAGATACCGAGTCCCTGTTCAAAACCCGGGAGAAAGAATATCAGGAAACCATCGACCAGATAGAGGTAAGGATGTGAGCGGAGGCTGAGGAGCACAGGTGCCCGGCGGGCGGGGAGCAGGGCTGCAGGTGGAGTGCTCCCGTCCTGCAGGCGGACCCTGGATGCCAGGGCCCCCGCTTCCTTTCAGGGGGAGGAGTGAGTGCCCAGCTGTCGTGCCTCTGCTGGGTTCTTAAGACCTCAGGCTCTGGAGGGAGGCAGACGGATGTAGGTCTCTTTCTCAGCTCCGTCACTTGACTGCTATAACTTTCAACAGGCTGCTGCTTCTCTCGGAGCCGCTTTCTTTATTGTAAAATGGGAATTTTAACACGTCCCTCACAGAGTTGTTTGAAGAGGAAATGAATTAACACACCCATGGAACTTAGGGTAGTTTCTTTCCCACAGTAAGCATAAGCATACCGTTTGGGAGGAGGAGGAGGAGGAGGAGGAGGAGGAGGAGGAGGAGGAGGAGGAGGAGGAGGAGGAGGAGGAGAAGAAGAAGTTGTTATTAATTATTGTCAGTGCTATAGCAAGTCCACTCAGAGGTGGACTTGAACTTTACTGCTTCTTCAGTTCAGTCTTTGAACATTGATGTATGAGTGAAATATCTATCGGTTGCCTCTTGGACTTCCCCAACTGGGGATCTGGCCCGAAACCCAGGCATGTGCCCTGACTGGAATCGAACCAGAGACCTTTCAGTTTGCAGGACAATGCCCAACCCACTGAGCCACGCCAGTCAGGGCAGAATTTCTATTATTATTCCCTAGCCTTGAGGAACCTTCTAGAGATGGCAAGTAGTGCTGGTGCTTTAACTTAAACTGCAGTCAGTGAGGGGCTTCAGGAAGGATTTGCGGCCCCCGGGATGGAGGGAATTGTGGGGGCGGGGAGATAGGGGGGTGGGAGGTGGTCCCTGTGAGCCCTCCTACCCTGTGTGGGAGCCCTTTCCTGAGCACTCTGGTTTGGGGATGAGAGGCAGGCTTCTGTAATTCTCAACTCCTCTTGAAGTCCACCTGGCGTATTGACGCTCTCACTGCTCCCCCATGTCAAACGCTTGTGCTCCTCTAAACAAAACCTGCTTTTGTTTTTTGCACAGGCAGACAAATACTAAGTCTTACAGGCCGTCAGATTTATGCTGCTAGCGGAGGAGACGGGAAGGGAGAACTAGAACTGATCTTCACATTCCCACTTAAACCTATCTCACTGCCTTCTCCCTCCTTCTCTCCCTCCCTCCTTACCTGACTCTTACCTCCCTCTTTGGAATGGTGGACTTAGGGTTGATGTTTTCATTGTACCTTCAACCAAGCAGGGGCCTTGGAGTAGGTGTCCGGGGCTGCATCTCTGCCGGGTTCTTCCCCGGGGCAAGAGGGGCTTAGTTTAAAGCAGGATGTGAGCCCTGGCCGGACAGCTCAGTTGGTTAGAGTGGCATCCTGATGGGCCAAGGATGTGGGTTTGATCCCCCGTCAGGGCACATAAAAGAAACAACCAGGGGATGGAGGGATAGGGGCACTAAGTGGTCATGAAAAAAGTATAATAAAGATTGTATATTTTTTTTGAAAAACCACCAACAAATGCATAAATAAGTAGAACAACAAATTGGTGTTTCTGCCTTTCTCTCTAAAAATCAGTAAAAATTTTAAAACATATGCTACTATAAAAACATAAATAAAACATGACGTGAAAAGAAAGAAAAGAAAATCCTAAGTGGAAACATGCTTTTAAAGATGTTTTTAAGTCATCCGACTGCTCTTCTCCCCCAGTAGGATGATGTTAGAGAATGTTAGGAGAGCCGGCATGGTGGCTTTGGTTCTCTGTTGCTCCTGGGGATCCATCTGGGCCACCCAAGATCCTTTTCTCTTTGTGACCTTTGCTCTCTCAGGGTCACTCAGATGGAGGCAAGGACTATGTCCCATCATTGGGTAGCCAAGCCAAAGCCCGGGGTGGAGGGCGGGAAAGAATCCTTGCTCCCCACCTCCTTTCCTTATACTCTCCTTATACTCCCAGCCTTACACTACCCGCCCGCTTACCCCGTGAGCCTGGAGTTTCAATGTAGGCCGTTGTGGCTGTCTCCTAATGTGTGCTCACCTCTGCTCGAATTGGGTGAATTTGGAGGGGGGACATACAAACATGTAGAGACAACTGGTGGGAGTCCTAGCCTTCTTTTGTGATAGAATATATATTGGTGATAGAAAATACAGGGTTGGATGAAAGTAGGTTTATAGTAGTGAGAGCATGGAACAGAGTTTATTCTTGTATTACAACTTACTAATTACTGTATTATCTTCCATAGAAACAACTGTTAACCTCCTTTTGCCTACCCCTGTATCTTGTGCTAGAATATATTCTTCCTTGTCCTGCTGAGTGATGGGCTCCACCCTGACTCTCCCGAGGCAGAGAAATTGGGCCACAGGTGGCGTCACGTTCCCTTCTTAGACACGTCAGCGTGTCCTGCTTTTCTGGCTCGCTGCCGTGGGACCCCAGCTGGAACCCCGGCTCTGGAACCAAGGCTGCTGCTCCAGCCCACACTCACCAGGCCGCCCTCCCTCCCGCCTGTCACTGTCCTGACCATCTCTCTCATCTGGCCCTGTGACCCATTTCTTTCTCCAAGTTCCCATTTTCTGTCTGTCCAGTTCAGATTAGTTATGGGTGGTTTCCCCTGCCTAGTTCAGATTATTCATGGCTAGTTTTCTGCCCTTTCTCTTTGCTCGCAGGCAGTCAAGCACATCACCTCCAAGCGCAGAAGGCGGAAGGTTTCATTCTGCCTCCGCTTCTGGCCCCTGTCCTTTATACCAAAAACAAAGAGAGGCAGCAGATTGTCTCTGGCCCAGATCTTTTACCGCCTCTGCACCACCTCAGCTCTGCCTCAAAGCCTTTCCCGCAGAAGCAGGCTCTGGGAGGGAGACCGTATTGCCTGGACTCTGAGCCCTGCATTTTTTCACATGTAACAGTTCTTAAATTGGGATACATCTTATAACCAGTAGAACATTCAGTACAGCAAGAGGTCTTTCTGTTTGTCTCTGAAATGGCTTCCAAGTGAGAAAGTTAAGTAACGAGCAGAAAATGGACGGTAGGAGATTTGCGCTGTCCCCAGCAGTGCAGACAGGTGTCCTCCTTTATGCCCCGAGTCTTGTAGGTACTTCACAAAGTTAACAGTTCAGCGCCTGTCCAGCTGCCTGGCGTGCACACGCGCAGATGAACAAGGCCTATGGCGTGCCCTTCCAGGGGCTCCCCATTTGCGGAGGGACACAGACTGGGTGCAGTGCTGCCGGGGGTGCGAGGGGTGAGCCGAGCCACGCGGGAAGCCCGGGTGCCCTGTGCGCAGACAGGGCCCCTGCTCTCAGGAACGTGACCCTCTCCCCCCGCCCATGCCAGCCTTCCTTTCCTGGATGCTCTCGCCAATCTGTTGGAAGAATGCAGGCCTGAGGCAGATACATTTGCATACCTCTGTAGGCAAAGGTTGCCAGGAAAGTTGGGAGGAGGAGTGATAGTATATTGCGTGCTTTCTGCCTTGTTCTGATTTATTTTTAAATCTGAGCTGTCAGCCATGCTGCCTGGGCCCCCTGCCCAGCGGGGCTCTTGGCGTGTTTGCCCCCCGGGGGTTGGGAGCCGGGTCACTGCTGACTCGAGGGCCCTGCCCTGTTCTTGCCGCAGCTGGAGCTGGCCACAGCCAAGAACGACATGAACCGGCACCTGCACGAATATATGGAGATGTGCAGCATGAAGCGGGGTCTGGATGTGCAGATGGAGACCTGTCGCCGGCTCATCACCCAGTCCGGAGACCGGTAAGGGCCTCCCCGGAGTGTAGCGTGCTGCCCGCCTTCCTCCCAGCTTCCTCCAGGGGGGTGTGTCGGGGGAAGCGGAGGACCAGGGCCCCTCGGCGGGCAAGCCCTGAAGACGGTCCGCAGTGACTTACCCACATCACAGATGTGGTGACCAGGAGGTCACCTGGTACGTGTGGCCCAGTTGGATGTGCATTTGTGGCTGGGCAGCTGGAACCTCCCAATGCCACCAACTCTGGTGGTTCCTCTGGTTAGAGGCAGCTGAAAACTGACTAGGAACAGAATGGGTGTGGGGCAGATCCTTAACTAAAGTCAGAGTCACCATTTGTGCCTTTGACCATGAAAGTAACACGGCAACAAAAAAGCAATTTGAAAAAATTCACAAAAGTACTTCAAACAGGCATAAAGCTGGGGCCATCCAATCAGTGCACTTGGGCTCGGGTGGCATCTCTTCAGAGACTTCAGCTATTTCTGAACTCTGAGCTTCCCAAAGGCCTCAGGATAAAGGTGGGATCGGCTCCCCATCAGTGTGAGGAGGGGGCCGGGGAGGTTTCCTTCTCCCTTCTGCACTCCCTCACCTGGCACCGCCCTCTCAGGCCCCGGTCCACCTGCGCTTGCCTGAGAAGTCATTCACCTGCCTGCCAGAGAGGAGGAATGCCCCCCTTGTCAGGACTCCTGTCTGCCCCAAGGTGACAACTCATGTTTCTTTCTAGAAAGTCTCCTGCTTTCACTACGGTCCCGCTTAGCGACCCGCCGCCGCCACCGAGCGAGACTGAGGACTCCGATCGGGATGTCTCATCTGACAGCTCCATGAGATAGGGACCTGCCTCTGGTCCCACCCCGGTGGGAACGTGCCTCTCGCCCCGGCGGAGGGGGCGTTCACAGAAGGGGAGCTTCATCTGTCTTGCTGTACGGAGCCCGGTCCCTGGGGACGGGGCTGCTCCTCCCTCGGGCACCCTCCCTTGGCCTCTCCGGAGTTCTGGGGTGTCTGGAGTGAGGCATGGCCTGCCCTTCCCAGCTGGGGCTCTCCTGCCTCCATGCGTGGGTGCCTGCTACTCCCCATCTTTTAAAGTGCTGCCCGTGTGACCGTGGCCCCGTAACTTCTCCACTGAGGGATGTGACTGTCACATCCTCCTTCCCCGCCTGCGGCCTAGAGCCAGCTCCCGTCTGTGGTTCTGTATTGGTGCTAACTGGCTTGTGCAGCACCTGCAGCAGGAGAGGGCCTTTCCGCGTTGCAGGTGGAGGGAAGCAGGACTGGGCAGGGCGCTAAGTTCTCCCTCTGCTGTCCAAGTGCTCTGGTCACCTAACTGTGGACAGTAAGGGTGTGGCTGTGACCCCCTCCCTCGTGGAAATGCCACACATTGAAGGGGCCTCAGTGCCTCGGTCTAGGTGGCTTCTGGTTCTGACTGGGTGCAGTATCATGGAGACTGGAAGCTCGTCTCCCGGTCACTGCTGAGTGACACCAAGCAGTGAAGCTACTTGGGCGTGCACATGGGGGTGTGTGCGCAAGTGTGCTCAGGGTCTCCGTTTCTTCAAGTTATCTGCTGAAGATGTGCCTCCTCCGTGTCTGTCACACTGAGACCAACAGGCTGAGTAAGATGTCCGAACTTGCAAACCTTGGAGAAACTGGGGAGATGTGACTGAGCCCTCAGCCTAACTGCCTGGGGGCGGCTGTGCCGACAAGTGAATGGAATCTTTGATAAGAATGAAACTGGCGAGTATTTATTGAACTTTGTGTCACTGTTTGAAGCACATTCTGGTGGTAGCTACACAATCCTGACGTGTGCACAAGTTTCATCTCCATTTCACAAGCAGGTGCAAGGCAAGGCACGGGATTAGAACTGGCCCTGAGCAAGCCTCAAGTGGCAGAACCAGGGTCTCAACCCAGGCGGTAGGCGCCAAGCCTGTGCCACTGAGCACAGGCACGTCGCCCCACTCTTCCCCGCTTTCCAGGTTATGTGGTGCTTTCCGTGCGGGGTGAGGTGCGAAGTCTGTGTACAGCCCACTAATTGGGCTGGACTGTGGTGAGAAAAAGCCTGGTCCTCTGAAGGGCCCACGCTGGACACACAGTCCCTGGAGACCTTGAGGGGAAACAGCCAAAGCGAGAACAGACCTTATTCACGCCAGCAGTGCCTGGGCACAGGCGCTTTGGTCTTTTGGAGTGTGGGAAACATCCATTGGCTGCCTCACGTACACCCCCCTAGTCAGGGACCTGGCCTACAACCAGGTGTGTGGGTGCACTGTGTAAGGGATACTTTAGGCTATGCCAGCTCTAAGTCTGCGACTGAGGCCGTGCCTGGCTGCGGTGAGCAAGGCCCTTTGCAGATCTCAACAAGAACTGTCACCTTCATGCCAGCCCAGCTTCGTTCCCTTTGTCCTAGACCCAAAATAAGATAGAGCAAAGAGCCAGCCAGGTGGGGTACAGTGAACTTTATTGATGGTGCATGACAAGGCAGGGCTCCTTAAGCCCCTCCCCTCTTCAGGGGGTCTAGGATGGAAACAAGATCAGGAGATTCTCAGTGTGTTGGGGGATCGATTTGGGGCAAGGACTCCCCAGCAGCTGAGGGTCTCTCTTCCTGTCGCTGGGGCTGGTGGTTCAGGAGGCTCTTACTCCTTGGAGGCCATGTGGACCACAAGGTCGACCACCCTGTTGCTGTAGCCAAATTCATTGTCATACCTGGAAGGGATGAGTCAATAGTTGTGTTTCTGGGCTTGCCACCAGGTGGCGCCAAACCCACAATCAGTTTTTTTAAAACATTGCCCCCCAACTGCAGCCACATACCAGGAAATAAGCTTGACAAAGTGGTCATTGAGGGCAATGCCAGCCCCAGCATCGAAGGTGGAGGAGTGGGTGTCACTGTTAAAGTCGCAGGAGACAACCTGAGGAAAGGAGAAGGGCAAGTGTGGGAATCCAGTCTTGTTCAGTAGGGCTGCGCGGACACCAAGCACCCTGTCCTATCAAGTCAGTACCTGGTCCTCAGTGTAGCCCAGGATGCCCTTGAGGGGGCCCTCTGATGCCTGCTTCACTACCTTCTTGATGTCATCGTATTTGGCCTAACAAGGTAAAAATAACATGGTTATTCAAGTTCCAATATTGCCACCATTCCACCAGAGACAAGCCCCCAGCCCACCAAAGCTGTTCCAACCCCTTACAGCTTTCTCTAGGCGGCAGGTCAGATCCACAACTGACACATTGGGGGTGGGGACACGGAAAGCCATGCCAGTGAGCTTCCTGTAGACAGAGAAATGGGGTCAGTATCAGCTCCTGGTTCCCCTGGTCCCTGTGTCTGGAAATGCAGCAGGAAGCCTCACCCATTGAGCTCAGGGATGACCTTGCCCACAGCCTTGGCTGCTCCAGTAGAAGCAGGGATGATGTTCTGGGCAGCCCCCCGGCCGTCACGCCACAGCTTCCCGGAGGGGCCGTCCACGGTCTTCTGGGTGGCAGTGATGGCATGGACTGTGGTCTGGAGACACGGAGGACAGAGTGAAGGCCCTGCAGGGTGCATGCCACCTACTCTTCCACCTCCCTCCTCACCTCTGGGAGAAATCCAGGGGGACACAGTGATCCGAGCCAATCCTAAGGGGCCCCCATTTTCCATAGCCAGCACCCACCACTGCCCAGGGCTGTGTAGTAAGGTGGGGTGAGAAGGGAACGTGCTCTGGTCACTTTCCCCATCTTACCATGAGTCCCTCCACAATGCCAAAGTTGTCATGGATGACTTTGGCCAGGGGGGCCAAGCAGTTGGTAGTGCAGGAGGCATTGCTGGAAAAAGGGAGAGGCAGGTCAGGGGCAAACATGCCCTCTGACCGTACTATCCAACCACATCTCCACTCCCTTCTGCCATGCTCACCTGACAATCTTCATGGAGTTGTCATACTTGTTGTGGTTCACACCCATCACAAACATGGGGGCATCCGCAGAAGGGGCAGAGATGATGACCCTCTTGGCGCCACCCTTCAAGTGAGCCTGTAGCAAAGGAGGAGTTAAGAGACCCCCGGCTCTGTCTTTTCCAGTCTAAGGCACTGTCCCCGGACTTCTTGCTGTACCAACTCCCAGGGTCAACTGCCTTCACCTGCAGCCTGCTTGCCACTCACCCCAGCCTTCTCCATGGTAGTGAAGACACCTGTGGACTCCACAACATACTCAGCACCAGCATCACCCCATTTGATGTTGGCGGGATCTCGCCTGCAAGGGAAGATGGGACAAGGTTCAAGGACATGAGTACCATGCACTCAAGGTGTTCACCCCATCCTAGCACCTCCCCTAAAGCAAATTTCTTCCTCTGCTTCCACACTTACTCCTGGAAGATGGAGATGGACTTTCCATTGATGATAAGCTTCCCGTTCTCAGCCTTGACTGTGCCTTTGAACTTGCCATGAGTAGAATCATACTGGAACATGTAGACCTGTAGGGACACGTGCGGGCATTAGAGGACTGCATATCGGCCAGCCTCTGCTTCCCATGCCCGCCATAAAGGCAGCACACGCTCACCATGTAGTTGAGGTCAATGAAGGGGTCATTGATGGCGACAACATCCACTTTGCCAGAGTAAAAAGCAGCCCTGGTGACGAGGCGCCCAATGCGGCCAAATCTGAGGGACAGAAGAGGCAAGAAGGGATGAGGCGGGGGGGGGGGGGGGGGGGGCCCGGAGGAGGAGCGGAGAAGTCTCCTGGGTGTGTAAATAGCCTGTGGCCCACTCACCCTCTTGCAGAGGGCAGACAGCACATCCCTATCACCAGAAAGTCCCAAAAGGCCTACTTTATCTTCCTTCAAGCAATCCTGCTAGGCCACCCTGACTTTACAGCATGAAGGCCACAAAATGAAGCCTCCTCTCCTGTCTGAGAGGTGATTAGGCTCAAAGATTTGCCTGACGCCTCTGTCCTCTGAAATCTTTCAAGTGACAGTGCAGGGCACTGCTATTGCCATCCATAGTCTAGGCACATGCCTGGCGCATGGCATTCATTACCCCCTGCTGTCTGCCCCAGGAATGCTTGCTCCTATTTTTCCCAGCTTCAGGCCACACCCCCTACGGAGCAAAGGCTTGTATACTCAGCAACACCAGGTTCAAAGGGCAAGAGTAAAGGTCAGAAGTTAGCTGGATGGGGAAAGCCCCACTCCCTTCTCTAAGTCCCTCCTACAGAAGGGAAGGCAATGAGCTGTTTCAACCCCCTAATCCCCGGGGTTCTAAACTACCTGTTCTTCCTAGTTCTCTTCCAGAAATCAGGTGTAGGAGCAACACGTGTGTGTATGGGGACGTGGTGGGAGACTAGAAGCCAGGCCCCCAGCTGCAGAAAGGTCAGGTGCTATATTTAACCCCAGACTAAGGGAGAGTCAGGATCTGGTTTCTGGAAGACGGAACTGGGAGAAGGGCAGGGATCCCAAGGCTCCCCGGACACCCAATCCTCCCAGTGACCTTTACAACTTGGTGTTGAGGTTTGGGTGAGTTCTAGGCATGGATGGAAGGCGCTTCGAGAGGAGCTGGTGTGGAGGGGCTGCTGCTACGGGAGCCATTTTATGGTGGAAAATTTCTAACTACCATGACTCAGCTCCCCTAGCATGGCACTAAGCCACGGCTACCACGCCACTCCAGGAAAAATAAGAGAAGCACCCCCATAAAGCCACGTTTTTGATTCACCAATCAGCTACGAAAAACATCCCCTCCGAGGGGGAATCGGGATGGCAGGTTAAGGATGGTCTAGTCTAGAGTGAATGTGGTCCAAGTCCTGAGGTCCACCTCTTTGGAGGGCAGCACCCGGAAAGCCTTGCCTCACCAGGTTTACCGGATAAAGGCGACTCCACCCCACTGAAGCAGGAGGAGGATTAGTCATAGTTAAAGAGGGAGGAAGGCTGGAGGACCAAGAGGTTTCCTAACGGCGGTTCGTTCATTCATTTCCTTCCCAGTTGCAACATGGCGGCTAGGTTACCGCAAAAGAGCCCCGCCGGCTACGTGCGCGCCTCTGTGCCTCCGGCATCCCCTACGCTGTGCGGCCAGGTGGGGGCAAAGAGGGCTTGGGGAGGGGGCTCCTCCTCACCACGTGACCGCGCGGGGCGCGAAAGGAAAGAAAGAAGCCCCTGCTAGGGAACTCAGGGGGATGGATTCAAAGCCAGAATTGTGGACTCTCCTGCTTATCTGGGGCGGGAAGAAAAGGCTACGGGTGACTTGTCCCCACAAGGGCGGAGGCGCAACAGCTGGGGGTGGGGGACAGGAGGACCTCTGAGAGCCTCTGCCTCTGACCTTGAGTTCTCCTTCGGGGAAGAGTACGACCATCCCCCTTCCCCCCACGTCCCTCCAGCGCTCGCACTAGCCCCGTCAGGGCAGGACCTGCAGACCCCTAACTCACCCGTTCACTCCGATCTTCACCATCTTGTCTCAGGGTTGAGGCTGCGGGGAAGGGAGGGTGAGCATCAGGGCGCCGGGCTCGAGTGCGGTCCTCTCCTCCCCCCTCCCCACCTTCCCCCGCGCTTCTCTTCACCCGCCTCCCTCGCACCCTGGCCACCATCCCTTTCCTGCGTCTCTGCACGTCCCCCTCCGCCGTTCCACTGCGGAGCCCACCCAGTGCAGCTCACCCCGCGGGTGCGCCCCTGGCCTGCGCGCGCCCGCAGCTCCTCTAACGTTGGAGGCCCTCCTGGCGCCTGCCTGTGTTTACTTTTACCTGGCACTGCGCGGAAGACCCGGCTGCCTGTCGAACAGGAGGAGCAGAGAGCGCTGGGGGAATGGCTGCAGTCACAATTTATAGAAACCG